TATTTAAAAAATAAAAACGATTACAATCTAATCTTTCCACGTTTGATCCCAAGATCCCAAGAAAAATAAATCTAAACAGGGAGAAAACTATGCTGAAAGTTTATTAAGATACTTAGAAGACAAAGATAACGATTTACGTTGCATTTGTCAGATTGTGAATCATTGAAGACATTTAATTAAACGTTTGCGATTTAAATCAAAATGGGGGTAACGGGGACTCTCTCTTTCTTATTATCAACACTCGGTCAATTGTTGTTCTTTTGGTTTCACAGAAGGCTTCTTCGATAGTTGGCCATTCAGGTAGATTGCGAGGCGAAAGGATTAGTAAATATATTTTGTTAAAGCAAGTCAGTTTTTTGCGACATATAAAAGACATGTGGCATTATTATATAGGACAGACACAGTGACCCAGACATTTGTTGAATGAAAAAGGGCACTTTATCTCACGGTACAGCTGGTACAGCACCCCCTGCGCCCGCGCGCCAGCAGAGAGACACACACACGCACACTTTTTCATTGACAAAAAGTAACGCCACACTCTTGTTTAACAGGATTGTTTTGTTTCTGGACAGACTGTTAAACTAGAGGAAAAGAGTGCCTCCTTCTTAAAGCATTTCGTTGATCTGATCACGTATTCTTTTCCAATCACAAAATGTAAGTTTTGAGAATCTCAGATTCACCATTCTACTAATGGTTTTCCAGAGATTGCAAGGCAAGGCACTTTTGCCTCTGGACCCATCAAAATGTACTGATGTGGTCCACCCCTAGTAAATTTCAAAAGTCACAAGATTTCAAAACACGAGGGCGGGGCATAGCGGTCGGCTCTGGCTTTCCAATCTATGCCCATGTACTGCAGATACAATCCTCCCTCCTTCTCTTGACTGATAGGCAACAGTTGGATATCTGGGAGAACTATACGTTGCACTGGCATCTGTGAATTCTGCTGTGTAAACAGTGCTTCCTGAGGGGAGATAGACAGCGGGGACAGCATCAGCCAATTTCTGGGCGGTGGTGAGCATAGAGGCCGGGATGGATGTCCTGTGTGCTCTGGGGGGGGCAGAGGGCTGTGTGGAGATATGCCTTCCGCCAAGCACTGCGACCTGCGCGGCGGGGAGAGGCACTTATCGGGAGACGAAGGTCTGTTCGGAGACGGCAGCCCTAGCATTTGACTGACGGAACATACCGTCTCCGGCTTCTGCATCTTCAGGAGTGTCTCTAACCTCCCAATCCTCCCCAGTAATGAGTCGTACTGCTCCCACTGGTGCCGAAAAGTCTACACACAGGTGCTGCTTCTACAGGTTGGCACCCTGGCCAGTGGCCGAGAGGCAAAATAACAGAATCCATGTAAGAAATAAAGTCACACAGTAGTATTCATCAGTTGCGGAACAGACGTCAAAATAAACCTTTCTTTTCATCCGTCTTACTGCATTCTTTTTAACTGTCCTGGTAGTCTTCGAAGATCGTTTCGCGTGTGTGGTGTTTTCCTGAAGAACAGGCTATGAAGAAATATTTATAATAGAATGTATAATACCTTGTAATATGCACTATAATCGCATATTTCAGATTAAGCCTGCTGTCTTTGCTTACCCTTCGCACTTTGCAAGCCGAGGCAGCTGAAGCACAACGTCTCTTCCCATAAAGAGTATGGTCTTTGTCTCCATACTATGGTCGCTGTAGTGCAGGCTCGCGGATTTGTTTGTGATGGGAATTCAACCCAATCCCTTGGTGTATTTATATTATATTCTCATGTATGGGT